ATATATAATACACACACACATATATATATATATATATATATATATATATATGTATATATATATTAATTATAGTAATAAAACGCGTCGTAATAAAACTTTCAATGGTAAAAAAACAAAAGTTTTCTGGCATCGCCCTTCATCAGGTGGTCATCAATCAGTATGATGCCTCAAAACATTATATGAATGAAGAATGTGTTTTTAGGATGGAATGTTGAAGCATGTATATTTAGAGGCCTTCAAAGGGCTTCACTATTGCTCATTATTCAAATTAAAGAGCCATACTATCAGTGATTTAGGCTAGTTAATCTTCCGTGATCTTAGACACCAATTTCTGATCTACTAAGGCTAAAAGATGTCACGAGGTTATCCGCCCAGTCCTCTAGCCTTAGTAGATTTGAAATTGATACCTAAGATTATAAAGCCTACATCACTGATAGTATGGATCGGTAAATTAAAGTGGAAGCCATTTTGATGGTCTTAACTAATATTGTGGTTGCTAAATCTGAGTTTACATTCGGTTTCGCCTACAATAATTACCGTTATTACATTTAGTTCAAAATGGTTAAGTCTGAGTTTACATTCGATTTCGCCTACATAATTGCTGTTTATTACATTTTATTTCAAAATAGTATTGTGCTACGCTTTTGTACGACGGTGACGACAAAATTCAAATTCGGCAATAGGCCGATGGGTTCGGCAAACCGGGTTTCGGCCAACTGGGATTCCATGTTTTCGGTGAACTGCATTCGGCAAACTGGGTTTTAGGCAGAGTCGGACAAACTCGGCAAACCGGGTTTCGACAAACTGGATTTCGACCAACTCGGGTGATACCAAAAAAAAATCTCCTTACACCAGCCTAAGTTTTTATACCTCCATGCATTTTATGATACAGTGCAGTTGACATTATTAATCAATGACGAAGTGAAAATTGAAGTAGGTACGTAAACATTCGACTATGATAAAGTTAAGACAGTGTTTATTATGCCGCTCTATATAATGCCGGTCTATTTCTTTGATTGGCTAATGTAAATTATGACCCCCCCCCTCCCCAAAGATTTTACTTCTCCATCCAATTAAAGTCCACTTTTGGGACCGGAGTTTAGTCGTCATTAGGAGCTTTGGTCTGTAATTATAAAAATCCCTTTTTAAGACCGGTACTAAAAGTGATATATAATAGACCTATATCTGTTAAAAAGAAATTTTATAGTAAATATTAGAATACGTTATTCCATGAATTTTTTTGAGTGAATGTACTAATATTTTTTTAATTTAAGGGATTTTTTAAAAGTTGTGTCTACCAAAACAATGTTTTCTTCCATTTTTTTTTTTTTTTTTTTTTTTTTTTTTTTTTTTTTTGTAGAATCGATCATTGTATGATGTTACTCATTCCTAACCATTTTTCAGTAGTCTTACATCCTGCGTTCGTTCTACCCAAATATCAATTTAATTACAAAAAATACAACGTCCTACTAACACTATCAGTATATCACACTATTCAGTGTGGAGCACTGTATACACAAACCATCGGTTTGAAGTATATTATTTTGATGTCTGTAGGCTACAAAAAACACATTATACAGTAATACTTTTAAATCAGTCTTTAAATAAAGGAAAATGATTCAGTTTGGTCTGCCAAAACCACGGTCGTTTGTGTCTAAAGCCGGGCACTCACTTCGCTCGACGGTCGTCGGCCGACGCAATTCTATATAGAACGCAACGACACGATGCGCGCACAACGGATCGTTTTTAATGATGATCTGTTCCCTAGTATGTAACCGGGGTCTATTACCTTACTTAGTTCAAGAAATATATTTTCTGCCTTCCATGATGTTTGATCCTCCGATCTTTCACATAAAAAAATAAGCTTGGTGCTTTGTGCAACACACACGTTGGGCTTCCCCTGGACATGTCCAGGGTAGTCTTTTGTTGCTGCAGCTCCAGCCATGTAGCTAACGTACGGTACGTTACAGGTATGTAATGTAATCACTGTAACTGGTATAGCCTAGTTGAAATAGCTCAAAGATATAGGTTAAAAATTACCCGATTTCGTTATTTTTGGCCGCACACTAGGTCAGAAGATGTCCTGTAATGCAATATAACTCGAAGAAAGATGGTCAGGAATGGAATACAGTACATTGAAAATAAGACGTTTTATTAAGAGCACGCATACGGATTTCGCCTTGGTGAAACTATACGCCCTCTATCTATCTAAAAACGACATCATCATCATCATCATCATCATTATTATTATTATTAATATTATTATTATTATTATTATTATTATTATTATTATTATTATTGCTATTATTATTGCTATTGTTATTATTATTGTTATTATTATTATTATTATTGTTATTATTATTATTATTGTGTACACAAAACATTCTAACAAATTGATTCTATGTTTACCATTATATTTCATTGTTACACTTTTTCACTAACTTTTGTTTGAATGAACGTGCACCTGTTTTCGTGAATAAATAAAGTATATATGGGACAATAAAGTATAATAAAATCTCGGTAAACTGGAATCATAAAAAGGGTCTAAGCACTAGACCGTTCCATTATGTTATCAAAAACAAATAAAACTAAGAAGTTTACGATTTCACTTTAGTGTCTGAACAAGAATTGTAATCTGTTAACAACACATACCATAAAATCGTATAATAAATAACTGTGTATACGGTACCTAGTGTAAAGATATTAAGTATTGCAATTTAATACTTTATATTGTGAAGCATTGTGAGGACCATTCTTCAAATAAGTTTGTAACAATGATGGCGCTTTCAATATGCTCAGTAGACCATGTTGGCTCCGCTGTTCTGCCATATCGTCTTGGACGATCTGAGAATAAGGAACTTGTGTGGTGCATAGCCGTGTAATACATATGGAGCACTGTGTGTAAGCATATAGATGTACTATACGTTTATTTTACTGTAGGCCTACTTTATCATTTCAGCGACTGCAGTAATGGCGTCGGATTTGAAAATGGATGAAAAGAATTACAACAATAGTATAAAGACTAATAAGAATGAACTATTGGATAGTATACCAGATTCTGATGGATCGCAATCGTGTGGATTCGGAAGTTGTACTCCTAACACTCTTCAGAAGTTTGCTACGCCCAGGTGGCTTCTTTGTGTAATTTGCATATTCGTGTTTATTCAAAGTAAGTTTTAGTAAAAATGTACCGAAACGTTGAAGTACTTTGTTTTTACTGTGTGTATTTTTAATTTTCTTCACACCCAAAACGCATAATACTCGCAATAATTATGATGGGATGATGATTCAGTTAAACTTATGTGGCTAGCTCTAGTGTAAAGACTTCTTGTGGAGATAAACACGTTTTAAGCCCAGAACCGTGGAATTACACCTTCGAAGCAAGGATACTTTACCAGCAAGCTATAGCTCCCAGCGGCGAATCCAGGAATTTGAAATTAATTTGAGGTGGCCCAGGGAGACGTTTTCAAAGATGGAGGGTGTAGAACACCTATGCCATGGTTGGGGCTGAGGTAAAAAAATTAATGATTATGGCACCTCTAGATGACCTAATACTCGCAATAATTATGATGGGATGATGATTCAGTTAAACTTATGTGGCTAGCTCTAGTGTAAAGACTTCTTGTGGAGATAAACACGTTTTAAGCCCAGAACCGTGGAATTACACCTTCGAAGCAAGGATACTTTACCAGCAAGCTATAGCTCCCAGCGGCGAATCCAGGAATTTGAAATTAATTTGAGGTGGCCCAGGGAGACGTTTTCAAAGATGGAGGGTGTAGACCACCTATGCCATGGTTGGGGCTGAGGTAAAAAAATTAATGATTATGGCACCTCTAGATGACCGGAAATGGCACTCTCAGACAGACTTAAATTTAATAAATTGAAAAAGTTTTTCCCCCATTTATTAATATAATTTTCTATAAATTTAGGGGGTTTGGGCCGGCTTCCCCCCCCCCCTCTTGAATACGCCGCTGGCTCCACGCAAACAAAAAGAATATGGGCTTACTGATTGGTCAAATTCAGTTTGAATAGCTTTGTGGCTAAAATGCTTGCCATACTCTCCCTTGATATGCTTGGGTTAAAAAGCCAGGGGACAGGAGCTTAAGTGGTTCGACCGAACCTCTTTTTTTTTTTTTTCGAGAAAACACCCCTCAGAGAAACAAAACTACCCACCCCAATTTGCATCAAAATGGTAGTGAAATTCATCATATGCTTTAGGTCATATGCTTAGCACCCCTCCCTCCCCTTCCACTGCACACAAAAGCTCTCCAGGACCCTACGGGTCCTCTGGCTATCATATAATCTTCAGGAAGTCTGGTTCCGGGCTCAGCATAAGATAGTTTAGCATTAAAAAATGAAAGCTACTTGTTGATAAAAATAATATGCCTACATCCTGACATCCTCCGTACAAAACAATTATGATTAAATTTCCATCGGGTGTCGCAGTTAAATACAAAAGCCCTACAGTTACAATATAAAAGCCCTATAACCAGCCGGATATTAGTTGGGTGTGTAAACATACAGTAGTAAAGAATGCCCTGTCCACTGTTATTTTTTTTGTGAGAATAGCCTATATTTAATAATTATTATTTTGACCTCACTTTGTAAAACAAATGTGCGTCCGGGAAAAAAAATGATTACAAGACAACATTGAATTAAATAATAACATCATCATTAGTGCATATATGGGAAATTTACAGATATTTTTTACGTAAAACGTTGTAGTCTGGATTAGTACAATTACGTCAAATTAGTTATCCTTTTTCATAAGGTGTGACTACGTGGTGGTTTCTCTTTCGACTCGGTGGAAACTTTCTCTTTGGTGGTTTCGAGGTGTGCATAAACAAGGATAGCGATATTTGGCTGATTGTAAGCAGGGCTATGCACGGGCATCAATCCGCGCCGGGTCGAGGAATTCAAAGTAGGGGGGGGGGGGGGGGTAGGTTATTTTTTTACAGATAGAGAATGTCTAGACCACTTCAGTCCCACCATGGTTGGGGCAGAGGTAAGAAAATTAATATGATTTGCGATAGCCTGATATGGCACTCTCAGACCTAAATTTGATCATAGTTTGATCATAATTTGACCACTATCAATAACGAGTGTTCGTATTTGGTAATAATGGTTTTTGGGGCTGAAAACAATGTACTCGTGTTTCCATATCATAATGGATGATTCGGTTTTGATTTGTTCATAATCAATATGATAACGTGTCTCGTGGTGCGAGCAATGTCTGTGAATTTCGTAGGAAAAAGGAAGGGACAGCGTAAATCACCTTCATGAATTAGCATCCGGTTCCCCCAGACATTAGGCTTATACAACTTTTGATCATAAAAATAAAATAATGGCCTCGAATTTGTATAGACCATAAAGCGCCTAGATAAATGCATATAATATAG